TTTCCACATTTCTCTCATTTGAAGCTTGTCCTACAGGCCCAGGGATGGGTTAAAAGCCGCTGGTGGGCTTCCGACGAAGATAACACTGCGAAAAAGCTGTGGGAGGATTGTTTCGGTGTACTCTCCAACGCATCTAGAGTGCGATTCGATATCATCTATGAAACACCGAGTATATTATGATATGGTAGTAGAGCCTGTTACCACAATGACATACATACATGATAGCAACCTCATCAAAATGAATGTTGCCCTTCGCAACAAGTTGTGAATTCTTTCAGATCATGTAGTCTAGTAGTATGTTCGGTAACTGTCCGAAGCTCTGCATACCTGAGTTGATGTGTATTAGCGAAGACAAGAATGTAGTGCCACATGCTTACGCCCATGGCATGATCCAGTGTGAGAATGTTACATAACATGCACAATTGTGTTGTCGCAGTCTTGTACTCGCATATATGTGACACTATACATACATATATTTCAAGTATACCTCGTTCGGCACACCCACATCCCCATCTACCTCCTACCCCATAATATCTCCCTTCATCATGAGCACTCGGACTCTCTCAACGGATGAACTCGCACTGCCTGATATGCTAAGCGAAGTGGTCAAGATACTCAATATCCAGCACAGCTTCAAAGTTACTATTAGATATTGCGACCGCATGGATCATCAATGTGGCCACTGCCTGTCTGATCAACTGCCAAAGCTTCTAAGGGTATGTTGCAGCTGTCTTCACCTTATCACGGAGCTTTGAACGTGTCGGCAGGAGTACCGCAGCCTTCTGAACCACTTCCAGCAAGCATTGCATGAGTTTCTGGTGGATGTGTCTACAGGTTAGTCTCAACGATTACATGACCTTTATGTCGCACTCATTCTAGTCATGTAGAGTATGTCGAAACCCTACCAGACTTGTGGGAACTGTCAAAAGTAGACGATGTTGAGGAGAAGTTCACGAACATGGTAAAATATGTTAGTATAAGAGTATGCCTATGATAACGGTATATGTGAAGCTCAACTTGTATCGACAGGACATACCCATATTGACCTTGGAATGGAAGAAAAGGTCCGAGTTTGACTGCCTGAGAGCGCGGCTTGGGAGTTTCATTCTGCAGATGAATGAGAGAATACCGGAAATGCCGAAGATTTCTGAGGAGACAATTGCATCGGTATCTGAACGGTGACTTACCATTGCTACTATGATATTGGCATCACTCATTGCTGACTTGCATTCTCCTATGCAGAAAGGTAAGCACTGTGGAGACCTACGCTTGCTCGTTTGTAACACGTCTATACCATGCCTAGGCAGATCCCAACGGTGTCGTGAGCGCTGAATCAGAGTCGATAATCGTTTCGACAAGCACTCTGCCTGCGTCCGAGGACACACCTCTCATCAATCGACAAGAATGCCCGTACCATGCGATCGGAGATGTTATCAAGGAGATAAAGACCATGCAGGATCATCTGGAGCTATTTGATAAATGCTGGGAGAAGCTAACGAACAAGGTTCGGCGCTGCTATACGGCGCAAACTGGATCAGGCTGAGCGTTTTGATAGATCATGAAGCCTCTAGATGAGTATCTAAGGGCAGTTCGGAGCTACAGATGGGAGCAGACAAATGTGAGCTTCTGATTCGCACAGCTATATATGATCTCTCACTTCCATTGATTTACAGGAAGCTCGGTCGGTTTATAATACCGCGATTGGTCGCCTAGTACGCTGCCGCGTGAAGCAGTGGAAGTGGGAGGATGTCCATTTCCGATCGTCGTACTAGTCCAACCTACAGTGGATGTATCAAATGAGAAGTGTGATTTGATTGTAGTTGACAACCACTCTGACTCGAGACACCAACGCCTACCGGAGCGGCGCACGAGACGCAACAGACATCGTCGACGCGACTCACGAGCGACGCCGTCCAGTGTGCAGGATCCGAGCCCGCGGTGCCCGGGATGACGCGAGTCGACGGGACCTCCCGAGCGGGCGCGATTCCCGCCAACGTGTTACTGGGCATACGCACGCCGCACGGGGTTGTGCGGGGACAGATCCATGACCATGAGCGGGCGCGTGTGCGTGTGCGTGCGCGCGAGTGGGTGCCGGGGATCGGGTGCCTCGGCCGGTGAGGGCCTGCGTTCCTGGTTCTGAGCAGCAGCATCTCCTTCGCGAACTTGATCTTGTCCACCAGCTGCCCCTAACGAACGAAGTGGCGTGGTGAGATGAGGCCAGGGCTAGCTGGCGGGCAACGACGGTAGGCGAGACGGGCGAGTGAGGTGGGCGAGCGAGCGGGAGACGAGTCGGACGGCGGCTGGAGAGCTGGAGAGCCACGGACGCGAGTGTGCGGACGTCATATATTAGAGTCTGCCTATGATATCCATGGTAGCTAGCGAGAGACACGAACCTGGAGAGCCACGGACGCGAGTGTGCGGACGTGGTCTCCGGTAGAGAGAAAAACGAGAGACTATCCTAGGGCGCTTCGTAAGGCGCCCAATCGAGATCTACTATGTACGAGTACGCTGCGTCTACTACTATGCTACTAAGGACGAGACGACTATGCTAGAAGAACGAAAGACTACGGTGAGTAACTACTAAAGTGCTATACAGTATACGTTCTTCGTCAGCACCTTAGCCCGCCCGGTCTCCGGGTCCTGCACTGGCGGGCACAGAGCCGAGGCCATGAACTCGGACAACGTGTGACGCGTGAGGCAGGCCGTACGAGGAGAGGACAAGCTTCGAGTGGTCTTGGAAGCTGAACTGGAGGACGTTGTGCGAGAGCTTATATACTATGATATGCTTGATGCGCAGTCAGCAAGAAGTCCATCCTCGGCAGTCGGTTTTGATGCACTGCTCGAAGTGCTCGAGAGTCGAAGTATCCTGATGGCAGTGTGAGTCAGCTTCCGTGACAGACGACGACAGGAGGGGAACGCATTCTTTGTCCAGGGACAGCACCTCCTTGGTACATCGCGAGCGGACGTCCGCGCCCGGAGACTATAGTCCATTCGATCGCGAAGCGACTCACGCACGACTCACTATCGCTTCAGAAGCCTCGGTCACTGCCTCTACCTCACACTCTACCAACCAAGCGACAACCGAGGTTCCCTTCTATAAGTCCTGGGTCCTCGAGCAGTCTGTCCATGACGTCTTCCGCCAGGTGCAGCGACACGCACACAGGCTCGTCGTACCACCGCCGCTCCTCTCGCCGACTACGCTCCGAGTCCTCATCCGAGCCATGCCAGGGTACTCCGGCCTCCATGATATGTATGCAGCCATCGACGCTCGGCATGATCACGTCGACGTACCGCGGGGGCGCCCCGCTCCCGAAGTCGACGTCGTACGCCCCGAGGTTCAGCCACGAGTTGACGACGGCGTGTCTCCGCCCGTAGAACGCGACCCAGAACCGGTTCGGGTCCACGACGTGCGCCATGTCGTGCAGCAGCGCCGGCACGGTTTCCGGGGTGAACTGCGCAGTCGTACACCGGATCGCCTGGGCAACGGTGGCGAGGGTCGAAGGATGTGACGGAGAGGCGATCTCCTCGCCGGTGAGAGAGACGCGTGCGACTGTGACGGGGGAACCGAGAAACCCGTCGGGGAGGGGTGGGGACAGACGTGAGCGGAGACCGAGGAGGATACCGAGATGGACGTTCGTGCGATCCTTCTCCATCCCGCGAGCGCGGACAAGCAGTCTCCAGAGAAACGCGAGGAGGGCATCGAGACGGGAGATAGGGGGCTGACCTGAGAGTACGCCGGTGTAGCTTGTCGCCTCGTCCCACATACATTTGATGGCGGAGGGTGTGAAGTAAAGGTGACGATGAGCGACTGGAGCGGAGAGGTCCCACTCAGACCATGGAAGCGGTTCTCCTCGAGGCCCGATGTCAGTCCCTCTCAAGTCTGCGGGAATCTGTGTGAGAGGTAGCATAGGAGCGGGACAGCCCTCTGCAGAGGACCAGCAGTCGTACCGATGCATTGGAAGAGAGCGAGAGACTCCGATGAGGTTGGGATCGGGGTCAAGGGCAGCTATGTCACCAGCGGCAGCGTGGTCCAGAAGAGCGGGGTCGAAGACCGGCGCGATAGGATGAGGGTGTGTGTCTGCAAGCATGGCACGGTGGTTCGAGCTCCAGTCTTTGACGAATTGGACCAACGTAGTGGCGTCCGCTATCGGATGCACCGCTCGGATGCCGATACCCACAGCCCCGCACGCGAAGGTCGTGAGCTGGACGGAGACGCAAGGGAGACCTTCGTGCTGGTCGGTCCCAATGAGTGCAAGAGAGGTGGGGAGCAGCAGTCGGTCCGAGGGAAAGAAAGACGCATCCCATGTCTGCTGAGAGAGACGTTCCTGCGCGTCCGGAAGAAGAGTCGCGAGCGAGCTTGGGCAGGAAGCTCGTATGAGCTCGACACCGGGATCGCTCGAGGAGCCGTAGGTCACCGCCAGGCGTGCGTGACGCTGTCCACGAGAGGGATCGTACGGCATCCAATGAAGCTGGCCTGCCCATAGACGGTAGCTGTCGATAGTACATCTCAGAGACTTCACGAGTGCGTCTGTGGCTAACGCTGCCGTGCCGACGACGTTGTGGGAGTCGAGCTCCTCTGCGATGAGGGATTCGGACTGAGGGTCCACGGAGTTGTAGTACCATACGGCGCTCGTCACGGACCATCTGAGCGTCCAGTTGTCCGTGATGGACAAGGGTACTGTGTGAGTAGTGTTGTCGAAAATGGGTGTGGGTACGATGCGGGTAGTCTCCATAGACAAGAGAGAGAAACTTCCTTGAATCAATGGCCGTAAGTAGATATTCCGTACATTCACCAGATGCATTGACTGAAGTACTGACCATCAAGCGCTAGGTACTGACCATCAAGCGCTAGTACACCTGACATGTTAGATGGCAACCCAGAACATGTGAGTGTGTGGTGGATTAATGGTGGAGGAGACAGACCCGTCCTTGGCTTGATTTAGTGGCTATCAAAGATGATCACCGTCCGTGGAGACAGCACAAATAACGAGGGGAGTCAAGGCACTATAGTGTAGTGGCTATCACTTGGGATTCTGACATGTCTTGCCTTCCCAAAACCCAGGTTCGATCCCTGGTAGTGCCTGAAAAGGAGTACCCGTTGCTTGCGAGAACATACTTTTGGTCACTTCAACAACACACGCGGGCGCAGGATACTTGGAGACGGCTGCGCGACCCTTACTGCCCTGCACCTCGGACCTCAAATGCACTTGTGACGGTGCGCAATAGGGTCCGTGCATGGCTTTGACGACGCAAGCGTTCCAGAACGTCGAAAGGGATTGCATAGATTTCCGAGAATGAGACACCGGGTAAGGTCGTCGGCGATGGGCCTAGATCGCTGGCCATAGAGACAAGCAGCAGCGTCGCTGACTCGACGTTGGGTTTGCCCTGTGTACGGCATGCAGTCCACGAGAGACAAATGTGCGCTCGTGCGGAGTCCCCCCGCTACACTCGTCTCGCGAGCTCTGCGCACGTACTAGGCCCTCGAGCCTCCGATTCTGCCTCTTCCAGAGGCACCCTCGGTATCGACTATCGAGGACACCTCGTACAGTTCGTCTGGACTCAGTACTCGCCGTCGGGCCCTCAGGCCTCAGGAACGGTATTGGAGACTTGGAGGGGTGCTTCGCCGACGCCGAAGTCGCGTCCTCGGCGTATCCCACTCAAGCATTGGCAGCCAGTGCGCAGACTCCGATACGATAGATGGACGTTGGACTCTGGCGGCGACGACACCCAGCATCATGCGTGTCGTCCCTGCGTGGGCGCCTTGTAGCTTGAAGCTGGGATCCTCCCGCTCGGCGCTCGCGACACCGTCCACGATCGTGAAGATGCAGCTCCTCTCGAGAGTCGCCATCCTGGACCCGTGATTAGCCATGCGCATGGCGTCTGCGGAGTTCAGTTCACGAGGCTGCGACACGAGCAGCAGCACGTTCGTGATATGGCGTGCAGCGGCGGCTGGCGAGCTCGAGGAGGCGGAAAAGGCTGAGGGCCAGACGTCGTTCCGGCATGAGTTAAACGTGGAAGCGGAGTGCATCGACACCCACGGAGCGTGCTCGTGGGGTTCAGGAGGTGCACATAGGGACCTTGGGAGGGAGGCCGCGGCGGGCGAAAAGTCTTGGAGACCAGCCTCGACGATAGATCTGGAAGACCTCGAGCCGGTAGTGCGAGTCCATATTCCTTCAGGACTGACGCCGCGTACGAATATGTTCTTTAAACATCCATCACGCTCGAGTGTGGAGTTACTCATGCTTGAATGCTCTACGACGTTGCTGAGCGACACCTCTTGCACTATGCCACTGAGCGAGCTCTGAGATAGGTTCCGCGCCACTCGTCATACGCCAACCGGTCGTGCTAACGCCTCGACGGAATACGCTGGCGTAGGCGAGCCGCGATCCAGCGTGGAACGACGAACGTTGGAGTCTTCTTCCGATTTCGATATCATTGCGCTGGTAGAACACGAAGTACTGCACTACGTCGTCCGTACCTACGACGATCACCTCTCCAGCCTGCACCGGCGCTTACCACGGGATCTCCTTTCCGGCGTAGCTGAAAAACTTGCCACTATCCTCGATCGTCAGAGCGGTGACCTTCTTCAGGATGTGGGACACGCTGAACTCGGGCTCGAGTTGCGCACCCTCGCCGCCCATGACTGCGCCACCGTTTGAGATTCAGAGGTACACGGCAGACAGGCAGCAAACAGCAGGCACGCACCAGTCTTGACCCAGCCGGGGTCGAGGGCGATGACCGTAAAGTCCGGCCGCTCCTCCTTCTGCTTGTACGTCTGGAATTGGAATCGAGCGATCAGCCCCCTCTCTTGCTTGTGAAGTCGCGCGAGGGCGAGAGTGACAGGACACGGGCACTCACCAACATGTTCAACGCGGTCTTGCTGACGCTGTACGTCGTGCACTTGCCCCCGAGGCCGAGCCCGATGCTCGCCAACCCACTCGACATGTTGACTATCGTCTTCTTCGTGCCCTTCTCAAGCAGCGGGAGGTATGCCTGAGCGAGGAGCCCGGGGCCGATGACGTTCGATTGCATCGTGCGTCGGAACACGGCCGGGTCAAACGAGAACGCCATGTCGTCCCCTTCGTTCTACGATCGCGTCCGCGTGAGCCCAGTTGTGCGAGCCGTGTGCGCGTATACGGGTGTGGGGAGACAAGAACGAGTACTCACGATGGCAGCGTTGTTGTAGAGGTAGTCCAAGCTCGCGCCCTCTCCAAGCAGCCCCTCGACGACCTTGACCGAGTCCCAGATGGAAGCCTCGTCCGCTACGTCGATGGTTGCGATGTGCAGAGTCCCCTTCGCGCTGTTCTTCAAAGCGTGCAGATCAGTCGCTCCGGGCGGGTTCCGGCAGGTGGCGACGACGACATTGGATGGGTCGACCAAGAGTTGCCGGACGAGCTCGAGTCCGATGCCACGAGAAGTTCTGTCGAGTACAATGAGCCAGAACTACCTATGTTGTAGATTCAACTCACCCTGTGATAAGCCAAGTAGTTTTCGCTGCCATCCTGGAACTACTAATCCTTGACCCTAGTCGTACGAATGAGCTCGAGGGGAGATGGTCGCCACTTCGTCAACGCCGGGATGATATCGTCGATAGGGCTATTGCCACCTGGCATGCTATCTTGCGTGTCCCCGACAAAGTGCACGCACTATGTGGGCCAAAGATAACTCGAGCCTGGGATCACGAGAGGCCACTGAAGTAGAATCAGCGGAGGAAAGCCGGAGGAACGTTTGACTTACCTCTCAAGCCTGCCTCAAGCTCAACGTCCCGGTCGTCGTACCCAGCACCATCCGTGTCCATGCGCCATGTTGGCCAGCTTTCGGGGCGAAGGAGGGCGATAGCTGACGTACGTCTACGAAGAGAGGAAGTAGAGCAGAGTTGCACGTTCTGTTCAGTATTTGGATTCGGAGACGCCCGTCCTCCTCTGCCACAGAAACATCCATGGCAAGTTTGACTCGCAATACTTGAAGCCTTCCATTGAACCTTTGCCCGCACGACGCACAAGGCTAGCACACGCGCACACACCACGACAATGTGGCAAAGATAGGCTGTAGCTGTATACTCATGACAGACAAGTAAATAACCAAACTTCGTGCGCATTGTGGTGGACGATGGAAGATCGGAGGAGAGAGAGAGACTCGGGACAGACGTGACGATGGATCACGACAAGTGGCAATGAACGAGACGGGCAGACGAGGCACCGGGGTGGGGATCTCTGAAACTGGGAACGAGATGGATGGCGTGGATCATGAAGACGAGAATCGTGAAGTGGCATTGAGACGTGTGGACGTGAGGCGTGCGCGGGAGGCGTGGATCCATGGACTAGACGGACTATGTATGCGGCTCATGACATGAGGGTATATGTACACTACTTCTTGACGGGTGAATGGATGTGACGAGAAGAGAGAAGAGAGGTAGAGGATGGCAAGATGAAGATGTGCGGCAAGGCGAGGATACGACAAGCAGACGAGTCTCAAGTCCGACGCGGTCGACCTACCGTCGGCCGCGTCTCTAGAAGAAGAGTTCGAGTCCCTCCAACAGAGCCAAAGACCGATTACGTGAGCCCATGAGCGAGTGGGCGGAACACGAGAGACCGAGGGGGCCTACGCCGCCCTCAAGTACGAGTGCGAGCGCCGGTGCGACGAGACACCAACGCCTACCGGAGCGGCGCCCGAGATGCAGCAGACATCTTCGACGCGAGCGACGCTGTGGAGCGAGCAGGAGCGAGCCCACGGTGTTGCAAGCTCGGGTTGAGGCGACTCGATGGAACCTCCCGAGCGGGGGCGAGCCCGCCGACGTTCGACCGGGCGTACGCATGGGGTTGCGCATGGGTATGTCCATGACCATGATCGGGCGCGTGTGCGTGCGCGGAAGCACGAACGGGCGCACGAGTGGGTGCGGGGACCGGGGCGGGGGCGGGGGCCTCAACCGGCGAGGGCGCACCGCTGGCAGCATTCACGGCGCCTTGTCCCTGGGCTTGCCCGAGGAGCGCCGCGTTCTTGATGTTAGACAACATCTCCTTCGCATACCTGAGCTTTTCCACCAGCCTCCCGTTGGCCCGCGCGGTCTCCGAGTCCTGCACTGGCGAGCGTAGCGCGTCCGCCATGATTTCCGAGAGCGTGTGGCGCGTGAGGCAGTAGTTCTTGTCGATGTGCGTGACGTGCAGGGCGTGCGAGGAGAGTATGAGCTTCGAGTGATCCTGGAAGTTGAACTGGAGGACGTCGTGGGAGAGCTTGAAGACGACCACCTGCTTCACGCGTAGGTACCGCTGCACGAAGTCCATCCCCCGCGTCCGACCGACGTCCTCGTACGTGTACTCGTGGTGCGAAGACAGCCGCTCCATGATGTACTGCTCGAAGTGCTTGAGGAGGTACAGCTTCGGGTGTAGCTCCTTTGGGTAGTCTGCGACGGTGTAGTTCTTGCGAACGTACACCATGCCCTGGTGACGGGGCTCGATGTAGTCGAAGTGCCTATAACGGTAACAGTGAATCAGATTCTGCAGATAAACAACGAAGGGAAAGAACGCACTCCTTGTCCGCAGACAGCACCAACGACGAGCTGTCGTTGAAGTGAACACCAAGCGAGCCGTCCGTCAACGCGTATCCCATCCCGTACTTGTTGCAGTAGTCTACCCATGACGCGATGAACACCTTTGGTGCTTGGATGCCCACATCCTCCCTAGGGTCTTTGAACAGTCGTCCGATAGCCTTCGCCTCGAACGCCGCATTGAGCGTCTGGGCCGCAGCGTCGAACCCGTTGACGCGAGGCGGGAGCCCCGCGGGCAGCATGGGCACATCGTCCGACCCCTGCCCCTTCGCCCGTTCACCCGAGCTCGTCCTCTCCTTCCTGTTCTCGACCACTCTCTCCAACGCCGGAGCCATCTCCTGTGCCCGCTCCTTCTCCCGCTGGCGCTCCCTCTCCTTTAACAGGCGCGCGTGGTCGCGCGTACGAGCCGGAGGCACGTTCTCGACCTCCTGGTCCTGCTCGTCGCCGAACACGGACCCGGGCGCGCTGCCAGGCGCAGGAACCATCTGCGCGACGATCCGCGCCTTCTGGCTCTCGAGCTCCTTCCGACGCAGCTCCTC